GGGAGCTAAGGGGGAAGCTGTCAGGCCGGTTAAGGGCTAGGTCTGCGACTGGCCCAGTACCACTGCCCCCATATTTAATTAGTCAGAGCAAATCAGGGCCCAACTCAGTGTTAGAAGGGGAATGGACTCCACCTCTTAACGAGGATAGACATCCGTGTTCGGTTAGAAGGCACTGCAGTGCTTCAGGTGAGAGATGACAGCTTGGGCTGAGGGCTAACAGTAGAGTCTGGGGAGATTGGCTGTATTCTCAATATGTGTCGAAGGTAGAGCCAAAAAAATTTAGAAATACTGTTTTAGTCAGCTTGGGCTGCCATAACAAAATACTGTAGACTGGGTGGCCTAAACAACCAGTTTGTTCGCTGACGGGGCTGGGGCTGCAAGCCCAAGATCAGAGCGTCAGGATGGTCAGGTTCTGGCGATGCCTTTCTGCTTGGCGTGCACACGGGCACCTGCGTGCTGCGTGCTCGCACGGCCTTTCCTCGGCGTGCGCATGTGGAGTCACATAGATTGCTCTCATCCTGTTCTTTTTTAAAAAAAAAAATTCAAGTAGATCTTAGAGACAGAGAGAAAGTAAGAGAGAGAACACCTATCCACTGCTCCATGCATCCACGCACACACTGGCTGCCTCCTGTGTGAGCTCTGACCGGGGCTCGAACCTACAACCCTGTGGGTATTGGGATCATGCTCTAACCAACTGAGCCACCCGGCCAGGGCTCGTCCTCTTCTTATAAGGCCATCAGACCTGCTGGATTATGCCTTTATTTAACCTTAATACCTCTTAAAAGCCCTATCTCCAAATACTGTCACATTAAAAGCCCTATCTCCAAATACTGTCACATTAAAAGCCCTATCTCCAAATACTGTCACATTAAAAGCCCTATCTCTAAATACTGTCACATTGAGGGTCAGGGCTTCAACATATGCACTTTGGGGGCTACAGCTGAGTTTATAGCAAACAGCATGTGGAATGTGAAAGAGAGAGGAGTCAAGGATGACTAGTTTTTAGGCCTGGTCAATTGGAAAAAGAGGTTTGCATGATCTGAAGTAGGGAGTAAGGCCGAGAGATGGGTCTTGGGGGACGATGTGGAGGTTGGACATTTTGATTTGATCAGGGGGAGACACTGCATTGGTGACGTGATAGGAGTCTGGACTGGATGTGGGTTTTCAGTACTGGGGATGTAAAGTGAGGACTCTAGGATTCTAGACAGTATTTAAACCCCAAGAATGGGATCAGTGAGAGAGTTAAGAGGGGTCAACTGGAGATCGTCTTCTGCAGCAGATTACCGTGAAGGAGTTGGGGGAGGTGAGGAGGACCAGTGAAGGACTCGGCAGGATGGGCTAGTGAGGCAGAAGGGAAGTCAAGGGAGTGTGGTGTCTGGAGTGACACAGAAAATGACAGCCGTAGGTCCAGCGAGAGGGGGAATGAGTACGGCATCGTGGAAGTCGTAGGTGACCCCGCCAAGAGCAGTTTTGGAGGCGCGACAGCCTGACCAGAGAGGGACTGAGCAAGAACGGGAGCTCATGTAGGGGTTTGCCCAGGGAGCCCCGGAGAACTGGTGTGTAAGCTGCGGACCAAGTGGACTCAGGAGATGTATTTGAAGAAGGACGATATGACAGCATGTTTGTGCAGTGATGCAAATGATGCAGGAAAGAGCGAAAGAAAAAAAATAACGTAGAAAAGGGAACAGTTTCTAGCACACAGGGAAGGGGAAAGACCCCAGACACGGGCATGGCTCACTGTTCACCCCCTTCAAGTCCACGATCCGTGTCCCCTTCCCAGTGAGGTCTCTCCTGACCCCGACTCCCACCCCAGGAAACCCTGTCCTTCACCCTTTGTGGAATTATTGGTCGTGCAGTAATTCTAGTTTTAAATCTTTGAAACTGCCAAACTGTCTTCTACAGAGGCTGCAAGATTTTACATCCCTCCAACAATGAATGAGAGTTCCAATTTCCGCACACCCCCCACTAACGCTTGCATTTTTGTATTAGAGCCACGCTAGTGGATGAGAAGTGGTATCTCACCGTGGTTTTGCCGATCCCGTTTACACCCTCAAATGTCGACTTCCCTCTTCCGTAAAGAACCAAACATCATTTTCTCCCAGTGCGTTCTAGCAGGGCTTGAAAAACAGATCCGCGGGCTGGAATGCGTACACTTCAGGAGAACGCTTTGGACCCTACACGTTCCTTTTAAATATTAGAGTACCCCACGACAATGCCGTCACCTCTCCCTCGCCCCCCAGTTTCTGTAATCACTACGTAATACCATAAATGCTGCAACCGTCTCTTAAGGGCCTATTTTTCTTCTCTTACTTTATTATGTGATTTATTTTCAATACCCAAAAGCAGTTTTGACATGTGACTTTTTTTTTTCCCTGTAAAGGTGACAAGCATATTTTTAAACAGAATAAAAACAGGTGCGTCCCGAAGGCTTCGCGTTTTACTCAGAGTCCAACGTGGGCACCTGGAATGCAACAACAGGCGGAGGGAAGCACGCCCTTATGGGAGTAAGGTCTCCCGGAAAATCTTCACCTTCCTCTCCCTGCCCTGGGGTGATCATTTTCTTTGAAAAAGAACCAAAAACATGTTTTGCTGAATACCAAACTATGTGTGTGCGTCTGGAAGAAGAGAACGAGGAGACAGTCAGGCGGGGATGCCTGTCGCAGGTCGTCACGCGGGTGGGAGGGGGTGGGGGGGAGGTATTTCCGGACAAAGGAGCAGCTGTGTGGGAACACCTGGGGTGGGGGCGTATGCAAATAAGTGCTGGGAAAGTGTTCCTGGGACTCAGCTCCACTGAGTACTCTGAGAAGTCATCACAGGTAAGGAAACGCAGGGTTCTAATTGGTGCATTCAAGGGAAGCAGTGAAAAGCAGTGCGGGCGACTGTGGTCGGACGTGTGAGCAGGGGTGGTGGCCAGAGGGGGCAGAGGGAGGTGGCCGACACCGGTTTTGGAGAGCTGAGGTCTCGGGAACTGCTCTTCCAGTGGAGTTAGGAATAATGCCCTTTCTCCGGACTATGGTAAAATAGGTATCGACTCTAAAAATTTCATAGCTTCCTGGTTTTCTTGGATCTGGAGGGCGTCACACTAAAATGACTACATTTATATCAGAGCTGGCTTTTACCGCCCTCATGGTCTCGCAATCTCTCATCAAAGGAGGGGTGGGGGTTATGTGACGAGGGTCAGACCTCGCACACACTGAGAGTTATTTGCTCAACATCCATGAGCCAAGATGTCAGCCGGGGTCCTCAGGGGTTTAGCCGCAAGGAGTCTGGCCAATCCACCCATGTATTATGCAAAGGGCGGCCAACGTACACGCGGTGGTGGTTACGTTCTGGCTTCAGAGCGGGCGAAGTCCCCTAGAGATGACCTGCAAACCTGCCTGTGACACTCGCGTCGGGGACTTGAAACGGCCGTCCCGCCACGTCCTGGCCAAGCCCTTTCACTGACTGTTCCCGTGTTCTTCAGGTCACGGGGAGGAATGCTAGGTGCCCACAACGTGGAGGTGATTTAGAGACACGGTAACAGGACACACGAGTGTTTTCCCAGCTCGGCCCAGGTCACCGGGTTTCCGAGCCTTAGTCTGAGCTTGTGTCTAGAGGACGCTGGGCTGCTGCCGCTCAGCCGCCCATCCCGAGGGCGGACGGCCATTCCACGAACGCTTACGGAGGCTCGCAGGGGCACAGTGCTAGAGGGCGCGGGGGAGAGGCGGAGGAGGGCTGGGGGGGAGAGGCGGGGGGAGGGCTGGGGGGGAGAGGCGGGGGGAGGGCTGGGGGGGAGAGGCGGGGGGAGGGCTGGGGGGGAGAGGCGGGGGGAGGTGGGCACGGAGTCTAGGACATCTGTTAAGACCTGACAGAACCTGCCCACCATAGAAAGCTCACGATTTAGCGGCACACAACTGTTACAACCACTGACCTCTATTTTATTTGCTTGAGAGGCGGGTATCGAAGGTCATATATTAATTGCGCATTTACTACGTGAAAGACACTCTTCTACGGGCCTCAGTAGTAACTCACTGAGTCCTCAAACAATCCTCCGAGGCGGGTAGTGTTGTATCCCTTCTTCACAATAAAGAAACTGAGGTTCAGGGATTCATTACTTCTTCAAGGTCACACAACCTCTGGTTGAGGGGCTGGGATTTGAACGCAGGCAGTGTGGCTCCGGAGAGCCCGGGGAAAAGGAGTCAAGGAGGAGAGGAGAGGAGGAGGAGAAAGTGGAGGAAGGGCAGAGGGCGCACGGGGAGGGGAACAGAAGGTGGGAAGGTGGGCTTTTACGTTCTCAGAGGAAATGCTAGTTACACCATCCATTTACTGATTGTGTATTTCCATCACTTTAGCTCCTAAAGTCACCGCCATGAAGAAGTTCAAAAGATACTTGGGGCCCTGGCCCGGGCAGCTCCGGCGGGTTAGAACATTGTCCGCATACACCAAGGTTGTGGGTTCGATTCCCCCGCTCACAGCACACGCAAGGATCAACCAATCCCAAGTAAGTTCGTACCGCTTATTTATGAAGGCATAAGTGGAACAACAAATGGATGTTTCTCTTCTCTAAAATCAATCAATTAATCAACACATAGAAACTACCTCGGTGAGGTTTAAGCCTAGATCCTAACGTGACCCCTCGCAGTTGCTCGGGGAGACTTTCCTCCCAGCCTGGCTCTGGCGCCACAGGGCCGCCTGTGCGGCGAGACTACAAATCCCACTATGCACCGCGGGGGACACTGGGTCCACGCTGAGGGAACGTGAGGGTGTTCCAAAGGCGCCGTAGGCGAAGAGTCACGTACATTTGTACATTTTCCGCCGCCTTTCCACCTACACACAGATCTCACCTCTAGATAGACAGAATGTCTTATTTATTAGCAGGGCCTGCGGTAAAACGTGTAGAGTTGCTTCTGGCGTCAGGCATGGCAGGAGGCAGGCGCAAAGACCGCACGCGGGCGCCCATTCCGCCGACCAGGCGCGGGGTGGAGCCAGTGGCAGCGAGGCCCTGACGCAGGCCGGAAGTGTGAGAGGCTGAACGCCGACGGTTGAGTGGCTGCGGGTGTGCGCTTCCGGCCCTTGCCTCGACGTCGGCCGGGTGCAAAGGGCGCCTGGACAGTCTCTCCCGCCTCCGTCTTACGCACTCCTCCAACTTAGAGGCCCTCAGTCTCGACTCGTCTCGTTGTAGGCCTTGACGCCATGAGCAACAAAGAAGGTGGCGTCCTCAACAGCCCTGGGCGTTATTTATCCAAAGGGGGAGGACCTTTCGTTTTTTTGTTGGACTTCTCTCCCTCCCCGGAGGGATGCCCTCGTCCCTTGTAGGCTGGGGGTGCCCGCCTTGGTGACTCCCAGCCACACTGACTTTCGTTAACACCTCTCATTTTTCTTAAATGCACGAGCTGTTTTTGTTTGTTTGTTTGTTTGTTTTTTAATCTTAACGGGGTGACTACTCCATCTTGTCCCAGATCAGGGAACCTATTGGTGGTGTCCAGGCTAAGCTTTAGGTTTGGGGGAAAGAGACAAAGCTGCTTTTCCACCAGTCGGCTGGGAAAGCCACTAAGGCGAGGATCCCGTGGGCATCTAGCTTTAAGGAAGAAAGGGGTGTGCCTACCTGCATTACGTTGTATCGCCTCTTGGTGATGGAAGACCCTAACTTTTTTCTCCTTCTCTACGTAAGGATCAGGAGGGTTCAGGAAAAGGAAGCATGACAATTTCCCACATAACCAGAGGAGAGAAGGGAAGGATGTTAATTCATCTTCACCTGTGATGTTGGCCTTCAAATGTAAGTTCTCTGTGATGTAAGCTGGCGAAGGAAGAGAACTAAGGAGGTTGTAACAAGGACTGTGTAGACATTGTTGTGCCCAAGAAAACAGCCTCTAAGAATTTTAGATGTGCGTACGTTTACATTGTACTTTTCCTGGAGGTTTTGGGTGGTGGTAGGTTGGCCATGAAAGTCAAAATGACAAAAGTCTTGGCTGTTTTTCCCCATTACCATTCCCCGGGTAAACGTGTAATTGACATGAGACATGCCACGTGACCAAAACCTAACCGCGTAACCGAATATATCATTGTGTATCTGCTATGTGAAATATGTCAGCTATGCCCACACATTCTCCTGTTGTGCTTAGTGACCCGGACAAAGACGTCACCAGGTGCTGATGCGGGAGTGCGATCCCTGCGGAATGCAGTGATGCTCCGGGCAGTCCAGACTCCACTGTGCTTGTTTGATCTCTGCTTTCGTAGGACTCGCAGTGCAGTGGGTTTGTTTATACCAGCATCACCGCAGACACTGAGGAATGTGTCGCATTGCAAAATAATAGTGGCAATGACGTCAGTAGGCGATAGGAGATTTTCATCTGTTGTAATCTTTGGGATCGCCCTGGAATAGGAAGTTCATCATTGACGAGAACGCCATTATGTGGCACTGGACTGTGTCAGGGGTGTGTGTGTATGAGGTGTATATATCAGGTGTATTTACACATGTTTAATTTCTTGAATGTGTATTCATTTTGTTTCCTCAGCTAGACTTCTGAAGACGGAATATATTTTTATTTTGACTAGCACTTTGCACAGAGTAGGAACTCTTATCTCCTAGTAAATCTTGGATGGATGGATGGATGGATAGATATGTATTCACTGTTCCCCTTTTCTCAGTATAATAACTTGGTAAAGTTGTTCCTCATTTCTAAACAGAACAAAAACAAAATTCTTCTTGTTCTTCATCCAACACTGTGTACTGTGTAGTTTCAGCAGCTTAGGAACCTGAGAGGGTTAGTAGTTGATTTAACTTGCAGTCATCTGAAGACTGGATTGGAGCTGGCGGACCCATAGCCATAGACAAGTTAGGGCTTCTGCCAGCAGCCTGCTGGGGTCCCCTCCACCTGGACCCCACCACTGCTGCTCCCGTGTCCTCTCTGTGTGGCATCTGGCCTTCTCCAGACAGAGCGAGGAAGAATCCTCAGTCCCCTCACGCCCAGTCTCAGGCACTCTTGCTACATTGTATTTGTTAGAATGGAGGCCTTTATTTGTTAAAAAGGAGTTTAAAAACTCCTATTTAAGGGGCAGGGAATCAGGGTCCACTTTTTGAAGGGAGGAGTCAACGTAATTTGTGGCCATGTCTTAAAATGACCACAGCACTTACAGGGATTGCCAGAGACGCAGGACAACTAGTTGTAGTTGAGTAGAGAGCAGCTAATCCCGGCTGTCACTCTGGAAGAGCTACAGTGGGCCAAGTACCCCACCCCCATCCCCGACACACCCAGTAGAGAGCTGCCTGTGTACTAGCACGTTTCACTGTTCGTGTTTTGGCCTGCCTTTTGCACGCAGCGCGTGGTGCTTGGGATCACTTCTGACGTGGCGCACCTGCTGTGCATCGGCGCGCCGTGGTTTTGTCCAGGACGCAGCTCAGGCAGCTTCTTCCCTCTGGAAACTTTATGATTGTTCTCTCGAGTGAAGTTGGTGACAGACATTGAGTTCATTCAATCCTTGTCCATCCGTTCAGTCAGGAGCTGCTGGTTGAGCATCTGCTGTCGTTCCGGCAAGTGTTAGCGAACAAGAAGAATGTGGTTCCCGCTTCACCGAACCTTTTGCCTGTGTTACAGGATGGCCATATTTTATTTGGCTGTATCCCTGATTCATAGTATGCCAAACTCCTTGAGGATAAGAACTGTCTCTAACTTTGTGTTCATACTATCTAGTTCACAGCGGTCATTAATGTATTAATAATGAATAAAAAATGCATTGGATTGTTTTAAAGTGTTAGGCAATATCCTAGTCTAATATTATCTCAATACTAAAAGACCACATTTATGTAGGACCTTGTCAACTATGTATTTGCTTAATAGTTTATTCAAGTTCTGTTTTTTTTTTTGTTTTGTTTTGTTTTGTTTTTTAGAGAGAGGGGAAGAGAGGGAGAATGAGAGGGAGGGAAACATTGATGTACAAGAGATACATTTCATGGGTTGCCACTCGCATGCACCCAGCTGGGGACCTGGCTCACAACCCAGGCGTGTGCCCTGATTGGGAACTGAGCCAGGGACCTCTCAGTTCACAGGCCGACACTCAATCCACTGAGCCACAGCAGCCAGGGTTGGGCGGGGGGCTGTTTATTCACGTAACATAAACTTACTGGATCCTCCTTACAGGACAGGCATTTTGCTTGGTCCTTGGAGTGACAGTGCCTCTGAAATACAGTGGTTGTGAAGACTTAAGTGGTTTCCTGGTATTTCAGTGACTCGATAGGGGTTGAAAATTAAGGAAGTAGGTATTGTTAAAAGTTTAAACTTCTAATTTAAAAATTCCAGTTTCTATTTTTTGGAGTATTTATATTGTGTGTGGTAAGGTAATTAAAAAAAAACTTCACGTTACTTAGAGGGGTAGTTGGAAGTAATTTTTAAAGTAGTTATATGTGATAATTGTTTCATAAGCTCATGTTTACCAGACCACATGTGTTTTTTTACAATATATATATCTCATAATAAGGCTCTGAGTGGTAAAACCCAGCTAAAGAAAGAATATTTTGGTTACTAGCAGAGTCTTTGATTTTTGAGAACTTTAAAATAAATAAAATAAATAAGATGATTTTGTTTTCTTTATTGAGTAAATAATAGTTGCTTTAGGATGCATAATAACAGTATTATTTGGTAGGCTTTAATTATGGAATACACATGCTTATGGTCATAATAATGTATTCTTAGCGTTTCAGCAGGAACTGGATGCGAGACACGACAAACACGAGAGGCTCGTGAAACTCAGTCGGGATATAACTGTGGAAAGTAAGAGGACAATCTTTCTGCTCCATAGGATTACAAGGTGAGCAAATATCTGTAAAACTTATAGTTGTGTACAGTTTGATAGGTTTTATGTATATTGTAATACATAGCTAGCTGTTGGAATATTCTATGACTTTTTGTCAACATTAGGATCAAAGGATGTTTTTTGCAGCAAGCAGATTTTAACATTTTCTTTAATAGATATAGGTAGATATCTCTTTCTTTATCAGTGAGCCTTGGTAGTGTGTGTCTTTCAAGGAATTTTTGCATCTCGTAGTATTTCTTTATGCTCCTTTTATTTATGTGGGGCCCGTAGCGACATCTCTCCTTCCTGGTGTTGGCGCTTTGTGTCCTCTCTCTTCACTGGTCTGTCGGGTCAGCTTTGTTGCTCTTGAAGGGTCAAATGTTGCTTCCATTGACACTGTCTGTTTTCCTGTTTTGTGTTACACTGGTTTTTTTTTCCCCCTTCGTATACTTGCTTTGGATTCATTGCCCCTCTTTTTCTAGTTTCTTAAGGTGCAAGCTGAGCTCGAAGGAGAAACTTCTTTTTCTAAATACAGATGTTTAGTGCTATAAGTGTCCCTTTTAAGTCTCTAAGTGTGGTAGCGCTGCGTTCCTTGAATTTCTATATGTTGTTTATCATTTTCATTCAGTTCGAAATACTTTCTCAGGGAGACTCCTCAGCTCCATGTAGGTTTCTCATCCCTGCACTGTCACAGGCAGTAAGACGAGACAGTCCCTAGGGCTTATGTCCTTTTCTTCACCTCTGAGGGGTCACTGTCCCACGCTGTCTGGTGTCCAGTGTCTGAAAATCATAGTTCTATGTGAATTTTTTCTTTTTGGTTGTTTATGGTGGGAGGGTAATGTCTGTCCATGTTGTTCCACGCTGACTGAAAGCAGACACTCCTAGATGCCATATTTTTATGAACATAAATTTTCCCATAGTTATGATTGTAATATACATAAAACTTTGTGTACTTCTTTTTCCACTTAATAGTATATTATAGCATTTTTCATGTTTTTAAATAGTTTCAATAAAATCAATTGTAAATTTCAGTTAATATCCGAGTATGTACAGTGTTTATTTCAGTCCATGTTAAGTGATAATTAGATGATTTCAGGGTTTCACTGTCGAGCATCTGGCTGATGTTTTAAAAGCTCCCAATGTCTGGGTTATAGTGCTCCTGATATAGAAGACATATTGGCTGAATCAGAAATTAAGTTGGATGGTGTCAGACAGAAGATACTGCAGGTGGCCCAGGAGCTCTCGGGAGAGGACCTGCATCAGTTCCATAGGGCCATTACTACAGGTAAGTCTGGGCTCTCTTCAGCGCTAACAGATTTTTTTAAAATAGCGCGTTACATGATTTATGTGTGAGTCACATGAATTTTAATTGATACTTGGCAAAATATTACTGACTTGAAAGAGTTGGGAGCACTAAATAGTAATGTAAAGGTAATCCAAAAACGTTTTTCTAACTGTGCAGTTACAGTCATTGATCTATTTTTAGTGAAAGTCTGTCTCCTAGTAACTGTTTTCTCAGTTACTTTATCCTGAGTGTGTACGGCGATGCCCTTTGCTGACGCGGGTCTGTCTGCCTGGCGCCTCTGAGTGTGAAACTTTTCCAAAACTTACTGTTGCCTGCTGTCCACTGGGAGCCTTCCCAGTAATATAAATGGTTGCTTAACACGTGTTTTGTATGATATATATATTATACTCATGCAGTATATCCCTAAAGTAAGGTAGAGAAAATACGGTATGAAGAAAATCATAAGATACAGAAACATTTACAGCACTGTATGTATTTGTTGAAAAAAACCCACATTTAAGTGGACCTGCACATTTGAAACCAGTGTCATTCGAGGGTCAGCTGTAGCATCAGTGCATTGGTTTGCTTTTTAATCCTCACCTGAGGATATGTTTGTTGACTCGAGAGAGAGAGGAACATCAGTCGGTTGCCTCCCACATGCTCCCCGACCGGAGATCGAACCTGCAGTGTAACGGTTGTTTGTTCCCTGATGGGGACTTGAACCCGTAACCTTTGCATGTGGGACATTGCTCCAACCAGCTGAGTCACCCCACCAGGGCTTTGCTGATTTTCAGTGTGAGGTCCCTGACGGGAGGGATGCCGTGTAATTCAGACATACCTGGGTGTGCGAAGGTGAAGTCGGAGGTCTGTGTTGACAGAAGTAGACACAGGTTCTGTCTCTGTCCCATGCCGACTCCACTGGGCTCAGGTCGGTTCCCACGGAAGTCAGCTCAGTGGGAAGTGAGTTCGTTTCGTGTGTGCCCAGTGCGTGTCCAGTTTTAGCCTAAGCATTTAACATTTCAACACTCACTTTTCAGGAATGCTGGCTTGTAGTGTGTCAGAATGTTCTTTTTGTTCAGTAATTGTATTACTGAGGTATAACGGACGTACAGCATTATATTAGTTTCAGGCGCATAAACTACACTGACTTGGTGTTTGTACACGTTGTGCAATGGCCGCCATGGTGAGTCTGGCCAGCATCCGTCTCCCTGCACACTCCCCGTGGTGAGCTTTGGAGATCTGCTCTCTCTGCAGCTTTCCAACAGGCAGCGCAGTATTAGTAACAGTAGTTGCCGTTGGTGTAAGTGCCTGCGTACGTCAGGAAAGCTGTGGGGCTGGGGGTGTGGCTAGAAACTGAAGTGGTAACGCAGACAGTTCGGTGAAGAGTCAGTATAATTTATTCCTGAAGGAGACGCATTCCCACCCTTGTAATTTATAGTTTGCTAGCAGGGTTTTGTGTGGTGTTTCAAATAACAGCACGTAATGAAAGAGATTCGACGGATTCGGTTTGTGCTGTCCTTGACCACGGCACATTTGGCAGGGGTGGGAGAGAACGTCAGAGGCATTGGAGGGAAGATGGGTGACATGAAAGCCCAGATAAGCCTCTAGAAGAAAACGTGAGAATGGCTTCATGACCTTGTGGTAGAACGGGTTTTTTAAAATGGCACAAGTAAGCATTAACTGCTAACAGAAATGTGGTCATTTGAGGTGCACTAAATTTAGGAAATGCTGTTCATCAAAAGAGATCTTTGAGAGTGAAAAGGTGGCCTTGGCTAGGTAGCTCAGTGGGGCAGTGCTGTCCCCATGAGCCAGGGTCGCAGGTTCGATCTCCACTTGGGGCACATGCAAGAGTCAACCCATGAACGCATAGTGGGTGGGACAACAAATCGATGTTTCCCCCTCTCCCCCTCTCTCTCTAAAATCAATAAACGAAAAAATTTAAGTATTTAAAAAAAGAAAATGAAACGGCAAGCTGAAGTCTGAGGTCCAAGAGAACCCACTCAAATACACATGTTGTTGGACAGAGGACTCACAGACTGTATGAAGAATTCCTACAGATCAAAGAAGACAGTTTAAGAATGGACAAAAAATTTGAACAGAGCCTTCATAAAAGTAAATATTCGGGTGGCTAGTGAGCATCTGGAAAGGTGCTCCGCATCATTGTTCACTAGAGTAGTTCACGTGAAATGCCATTCGCTCACCAACACGACTAAATTATAAATGCCGCTTTTAAAAACTTAGGCAATATTTAGCGAAAACTTTGTGCCTACTTTATGATCACTTCTGGGCATGGGCCCGAGAGACTCGAGGCTTATGTTACCGAGAGACATGTGAGAAAGCTCACAGCAGCTGTAGTCATGATATCCTAAAAGTGGAGGATGGCCCCGGTGCCTGTTACCAGGGGAACGGATGGATGTGGTGTAGCTGGACCAGGCAATGCTATGTAGCAACACAAGGTGACAAACACACGCGGCGTGAATGCCAGTCTCACACTCTGCGGGGCAGAATCAGCAGACAAAGGAGTGCACACCATGTAGTTCTGTTTACGTGACGTTCAGAAAGAGGCAGTGTTCACCTAGGGAGATCACAGGCAGGATGGTGGTGACGTCAGGGTGGAGGTCGGGCATGGGTTACTGACTAGGCACGAGGGGACGTTCTGGAGGGACAGAAATGTTTTATATACTCATCTGGGTGGAGTGACCCAGGTGTACACCTGTGCAAAAATTCATTGAGTTAGACATTCAAGGTTTACACACTTCACTGTTTGTAATTTATAACTTTTTTTTTTAAACAAAGAGAAGTCAGTGTAGGCTGATGAGCACTTAGCCCCTTCTCCAGAACAGCTCTGTGTGTGTGTCGGGAAGTTGCACCAGTGATGGTTCTCTTGAGGGCGGTCCTGCAGCAGGAAGGAAGCGCTGCCCTCTGGGGGGTTTAGCTGGGGCCTTGGCGAAAGGGGGCAGCCGTCTTCAGGTTTCCCCACCGCGCTGTGTCACGGAGCAGCACCCGGGACTCCGCTCTCTGTGTCGGGCCTTTGTTCAGGGTCTGTAAGCTTCTTGGAAGATGACCTGCTCGTGGGCTAGAAATTTAAAGATCCCCTGGGTCTCACTTTTCTGTCAGAAGTCTTCAAAACAAGGGTGTTTAAATTGAAACAATAAAGATTTTTTTCCCTTAAAGTTAAGGAATAAATCAGCCAAATGAAGAGGTATCTGGGACTTAAGAATTTGCTGACAGGTATTTTATTTGATAAAGTATGGTTATTTACAATTACAGGAGCATTAACATTCCGATGCTTATGAATAGCTTGCTGCTTGTGATTGTCGAATGCTTGTTTTGGTGTCACTCCAAGTGGTTGTTCTTTTGACTTGAAGGTAAAACAATCCTGGCACCGAACTAAAGGAGTCTGTGCTTTTCCTCATTAAGAACAGTGCCGGAGGCCGCAGAGCATTTCCCCAGGGATGCTTGTGTGCTCGCAGGCACTGAGCATCCTTCCAGGGCCCAAACAGCAGAAAGCCGGCTCTGGCTTCTGCGCGGGGCTGGGCAGAGCAGACCGCACGCTGTCCCGGGCGGGGGTGGCCAGCAAGGGAGCCGGTCAGCAGCTGCCTGAAGAATTGTGTGTGCCCTATCGTGTCTTTGTTTTGTTTTTCTCTCTCTGAAAAGTTAACAGTTGGGGGAAAATGTCTTCCATGTCAAAGAAAGAAATACATATTTACATGTATATTTTGGAAAATGATAAAAATTGTCAATTATGAGATGTTGTGGTGTATGAAACTTAAGTTTAGACCCTAACTGGTATTTTAATTATGTTCGATGAACAGTTCATTTTTTCTCTGCCCAACATGATCTAATTTGATGTCCATTTGGTTTAGTGGATTTTACATTTTTCCTGAGTATGTTTTAGTTTTATTAGAACGTATTCGTTTGCCTAATTTGAAAATAATCGTGCAACTGAAGGAGTGGTTTGAGGACATCTAGTCCCACTGCCTCATTTTGTAAAGAAGCTTAGCGATGGTGTCGGAATCCACTCTGACCTGTTTTATCTGCTCTCTCACCACCTTCTCTCTGGTAGCTAGCGTTAGAGCTTTATTCCATACCGCTTTCTCTAAAGCCACAGGCTTTTACTTGAAGCTCTCAGGTTCTGTACTGGCTAAAGACACTCAAACGGCCTTACCCCTGTAAGTAAAATAGCTGAAGTTTAAATTTGCATTTCAGTGTGAGATGATTCAGTAAATAGTTTTTGTGACTGTTTTTTTTTTTTTAAAGATTTTATTTATTTTTTAGGGAGGGAGGGGAGGGGGAGAGAGAGAGAGAGAGAGAGAGACATCAATGTGCAGTTGCTGGGGGTTTTGGCCTGCAACCTAGGAATGTACCCTGGCTGGGAATCGAACCTGGGACAGTTTGGTTCCCAGCCCGCGCTCAATCCACTGAGCTACGCCAGCCAGGGCTGTGACTGTTTTAATAAGTGTATGTCATACCACAAACTTCTGTGGTGAATTCTATGACTGCTGTGATGGTGGGAAATTTTCTGTAGGCATTTTCTGGTTACAGAAACTCCGTTTGTAAATAGTCTTTGTAGTAAAATGTCTGGTGCACAGTACTTGGACTGACAACTATGTGAAAGTCTTTTAGTGCAGTTTCTGTTTCGCCTTTGAACACTCCTGTGGCTTCTCTGAAATCCTCCTTCAGAAGGTCGCCCTTTGGGCTTTGGGCCCTCGGTCGATGAGGACGGGTCTGACTAGGGACCAGGGCAGAGAGCGTGTGAACTCGGTCTGGGACCCTGCAGCAAGCCGAAGAGGCCCTTATCCCTGGACAGACTGCCCTAATTTATGATGCCGTCATTGGGCAGAGAATAGTCATCATTAACATAATTTGCCTGTTGCTTTTTTTATAAGATTTTATTTATTTACTTTTAGAAAGAGGGGAAGGGAGGGAGAAAAAGAGGGAGAGAAACATGAGTGTGCCAGAGATACATGGATTGGTTTCCTCTCGCACACCCCCAACTG